GTCCCTATATGCTGTCTAGGAAATCGTAGACATACAGGTAGTTTTCTCTGACCCTATGATTCCATTGTTAATCTGTCTCTGACTCTTTTCTATGATAGAGAATGCACATCAGCCGCACATACTCCGCACATATGCATACCAAACTGAGAATATGTTTGTAAACTGATGGAGATTNTCTGCACCTTCCCAACATAACATATATGAGACACACAAGACAGCTACCAAACTGATTTGTTGAGCCTGTTACCCACAGGGGAGATGTCCCTATATGCTGTCTGGGAAATCGTAGACACACAGGTAGTTTTCTCTGACGCTATGATTCCATTGTTAATCTGTCTCTGACTCTTTTCTATGATAGAGATGGACTCGTTGTGTCATATTAAGAAAAAAAAAAAAAAGGGTTCTCGCGACCGGTCTCGAACCCTAGACCTAGGCCCTGGAGCAACTTTTCACTCATATATTTTCTTACAGCGGATTTTTTTTTCTCGCCAAACCACCTAGACGTGTACCGGAAGACCCCCAACCACTTCACAAATGCCTCTGCCGCGCCTATAGCGTGTTTATATCACCCGCCAACGTTCTTCCGTTCTAAATATTGCCTATTTTCAATAAAAACATCCTTTTTTGGTACAACATTCCTTCCGGAAAACATGAGGAAAAAACCTGAAAAGTTCACCTCAACGAACAAGAATGCGCCATCCATCTACTGTCTCCATTCCTTCGGGGTCGGGCGCCTGTGTGACTTGTATTTCTTGCGCGTCTTCTTGTCTTCAGGCCCTTCCACACGCGTCTCGCGGTACATGAGGGCGTGTGTGTATGCCTTCTTGCAGTAGTAGCCCTGGACTACCGGAACAGCCTGCCTATCCTTCTCTGCTCTAAAACTTAGCGGCACGTTATTGCGCAAGCATTCCAACGAATACGTGCAATTCTTGCGAGTCCAATCCTTCGCCCGTCCCCAAACAAGTTCGATGGGATTACACCCGCAGTGGTACTTAGGAAGCATGAGACAGGCCCTCCCGTGGCGCTGTATCAACAGCACCAGACTAGAATCAACTTCCTTGAAGTTTTTCCGCTCTCCTCCTCGAACGTGCCCCATGCTCTTACTGAGGTCCTGCTTTTCCTCCGCTCTTCCTTCATGTATATATGTCCTCTCACTACGCGTCGCTCCCTCTTGCGGACCATTTCGCTCTTTTCCTCCGTTCTCCGTTCCGTTCCATTGCATGTCAGTGTCTACCTCTCCTCTATCATACACCATATCCTTCATTTTTTTCCATCTCTCATCTCATCCGGGATCTTTGAAGCTTCCTGATATTTTCCGTTCATCGTTCGTTCCACCTCGGGTCTCACCAATACTTGACTGGTTGTTCTGCCTTGCCTGCTCGTGGGAACCGGACGAACCGGTCAGTGCACGCCTCAACCGATCTGGCGCGGTAAATAATTCGTACCACTCTGGGCGGACCCGCTCATCATCTCCATCTCGAGCGGGCACGAGAATGCAATATTTCAGTGTGTGTGGCGGGGACGCGTGTGTAGAAGAACACGTGTCCCCGTCAGGTCAAGATCGATTCGGGGAAGATCCAAGCAAAGATCGTGCATAATATCATGCACGGGTCGGGCTACACGGGCTTTGCAGCAGCTGAAAACCGCAGGCAGCAGCTGAGGAAACGACGACAAGCACAGCGGGGGGGAAGCAGAGATAGAAACGACAGCACAGACAGCATCGACCGGAGTGCGGTGGTGGCACGTGTGCACAGACTCACACAGGATGGTGCCTGTCCCGTCGACGTGCTTGCTTTGCGGAAGATCCAAAAAGAGTTGATCGGAGATTGTGCGAAAAAGTCCGCCTGGAAGGTTTCCGAGGAAAAAGAGTTCAGGCACCGAGAGAGGAAAATCCGCGTGGAGGAGCGTGGAGAGATATCGTGGAGAAGGGAAACATAAGAGGTAGCAGTGAAGGGGCTGGTAGAGGTGAGAGCTTGTTGAAGTCAGTTTGGATCCATTGCGGCGACGATCCACTGATCGTAGATCGTACAAGCCGGACCCGCCGCAAATTGCCCACAGCGGAGGACGCAGCAGCAGCAGCAGCAGCAGCAGCGGCAGAGGCAGCCGCACGTACCGACGAGAGGGCAACATCGGAACACGTGTGCGCGACACACACACGTGGTCCCGGAGAGATCCCAACAAAAGCTCGATCGGAGATCCTGCAGCCTCGCTTCTGAAAGAGTCAACGGCAGAAGCAGCTCAGCGGGGTGAGAGGAAGATCAGGGGACAGGCAGCAGCAGCAGCAGCGGGAGGAAGCAACAGTCAAAGGGGCCGAGGAGAAGGAAGCTTCGAGACACGCGTGCTGGGAGCACACACACACGTGGAGGCCCGAACGGAACTGTGCTCGCGACCCCGTGATCGATTGGAGATCGAGCAAGGCGGTCGCTAGGTCCAGCAGCAGCAGACGGAGCCGAGGTACCGAGAGCGGGATTGGGTGCAAAGAGCATCTAGAAGATCTCTGAAACCTGAACAGAAGATTGACAGACGTCAAAGGAATAGCAGATCATTACTGAGTAGAAACCTTTGAACGTACGTCGGCGGCATGCACATGTTCCGCGCCCAGTTGTTGTCGTTGACTGTTTTGGCGTCTTTCTTAGGAGTGCGACGAGAAAGGACCCTGGCTCTTGCGGTTGAAGGTGGCGGGGAAGTAGGAACAGGGGGTGGCAGTGTCGGGGGTCTGGGGGAACATGGGCTTGAGTGGGGGGTGTCTCAGAAAGAGCAACACGGCGGGTGTTTCTCTGTTGGTGTGACCGGTGGCAGTATCGATCAGCAATGCCGCAAAGACGTTTGTGCGCCGAAATATGGGTGCGACAGCTTTAACCTAACCACTTCGGTGGAAAGCGGATTTCTGTTCGATACGGTGTCGGGAGTGCTGAAGGGGGGAGGGCTTGGCCCTTGTGGTTGCAGGTGGTAAGGAAGTGGGAACAGGGGGTGGCAGTGTCGGGGGTCTGGGGGAACATGGGCTTGAGTGGGGGGTGTCTCAGAAAGAGCAACACGGCGGGTGTTTCTCTCTTGGTGTGACCGGTGGCAGTATCGATCAGCAATGCCGCAAAGACGTTTGTGCGCCGAAATATGGGTGCGACAGCTTTAACCTAACCACTTCGGTGGAAAGCGGATTTCTGTTCGATACGGTGTCGGGAGTGCTGAAGGGGGGAGGGCTTGGCCCTTGTGGTTGCAGGTGGTAAGGAAGTGGGAACAGGGGGTGGCAGTGTCGGGGGTCTGGGGGAACATGGGCTTGAGTGGGGGGTGTCTCAGAAAGAGCAACACGGCGGGTGTTTCTCTCTTGGTGTGACCGGTGGCAGTATCGATCAGCAATGCCGCAAAGACGTTTGTGCGCCGAAATATGGGTGCGACAGCTTTAACCTAACCACTTCGGTGGAAAGCGGATTTCTGTTCGATACGGTGTCGGGAGTGCTGAAGGGGGGAGGGCTTGGCCCTTGTGGTTGCAGGTGGTAAGGAAGTGGGAACAGGGGGTGGCAGTGTCGGGGGTCTGGGGGAACATGGGCTTGAATGGGGGTTGCCTCAGAAAGAGCAAGACGGCGGATGTTTCTCTCTTGGTGTGACCGGTGGCAGTATCGATCAGCAATGCCGCACAGACTTTTGCGCGCCGAAATATGCGTGCGACAGCTTTAACCTAACCACTTCGGTGGAAAGCGGATTTCTGTTCAATACGGTGTCAGGGGTACCAGGGAAGACGGGGCCGAGTTTTGTTTGATTTCGGGTGGATGAGGTTGGGGTTTTGTTCGTTTTTCTCCATCTAAGGTTCGTGCCTAGAGTTCAGCTGTAGTGTTTCGACAAAAGTTTTGTTGACTTAGAGGCAAACATTCCTAGCTATTGGGCATCGAGTTAATTTGGCTTGGCATGACGGCCTTTACGATCGACTTTTTATGTATGTCTGCATTTATCTGCAATTCAATTGTCGGAGGGCAAACAAAATAATAAAAATATTTTGACTATATATTTTTTTCACATGATGAGCGGCACTGCGTCTGACTCTCCGCACTCTCCGCGGTCTTTCTTTTCACAAAATGTGGCGTCCTGCAGCAGCGGAGGTGGCGGTGCTGCTGAAGCTCGTAGACTTTGTAGTCTATACCACAGAGGTTACACTCACTGCTGTCACCGCTCTATCACCGAGGTTGGTCTACACTGCTGTGAGATCGGTAGGCCCGAGCGAGCTTTGGAAAGAGAAATGTAGATAAGTCTAGATGTTCTTATCAACTGACTCCCTGGTCAGGCATTGATGGGTGCTAGATGAGAGTGAGCACAAAGGGGCGAAGGCGCGCTTGTGTCTCATCTCAACAACAATACAAAACAAAAAACAAGCAGCAAAAACACAGCAGATTCCGAGGGTCTCTGGGGTAATGGCCCCAGTACCGGAATTTCGGGGTTCGGAACAATAAAACAACTACAGTCTCGCCTGCCAAATTATCTCCGCTACAACTCTGTGCTCATGTTCTCTGCTGAGTACCATCTCTTCTTCCTGTATTATTTCTACGGAAGGCTGGTTGCCGCAGTCGCACCTATGGTAAACTGTGCCTGACTACGTTGTTACAGTTTTCCTCGACACGACCCCTCGACTAGGCAAGTAGCCGATGTTCCAAAACTTCACTTTGCTGCCATTTTTGCGACCCCCGATTCCCAATCCATATCAAAGAATATCGACCTCCACATGAGTGAATCCATCCTGTGAGAAATACACGCGTTCAAAACATTCAACCATACTCTGCGATCTTGTGCATAATATCTTCTAGCACTTGTAGTCCTTGATGAGTTG